TTATTATGCAGTAATTTTCTAATAGAATTAAAAATAAATTTTCGTCACTTTTTGTGATAATTTTTTCATCTTTCATCGATATTATTAATGAAATATTTTATGCGGTAATTAATTATACGATATTTGACATTTGGGAAAATTCTTTTTCTTCTTAAAGCGTTCAATTTTGAAAACATAAATTAAATATAAATTTGTATTCTTTTTTTTCCTTTTATTTGCCATTATTGCAGAAGATATTTCATTTCAACCCATTTTAAAAAATGCATATTTATTTCTTTTGATAACTAAATTTCTTCGCCAGACGAAAGTAGAAAACTAAAGATCACCAAAAATTCTTGTTCCTATGACAATGAAAATAGTTTATATTTGTGTTTGTGCTTATTTTTTACCAGAAGAATTAACGTTCAATGTGTAACACATGTTTCCCTTAATAAAGAAATTTTTTTTGAATTTCATAAACCTGAATGCAACTTTTGAAATTTTCAATGAACATTTAAAAATAAAATTGATGGTGAATTATTGATATCTTGAAAGACACTGGAATTATTTATTAATTCATTATGAGAAACCCGCCTTTTCTTATTTAGAATTTCCTTATATTATTTACTATATTGATGGGAACATTTTGAAAAATCCAAATGTGTCATAGTTCTACGATGAGTTACGCTACTTCGATGAAATTATAACAGTACTAGTAGCTAACAATTATAATAATAGTTTCCTCGCAGCAGGGCGGTTCAAACACGTAATTATTCAATTCCTTTTGCAATTCATATTCTGCTTTGCCTTACTTCAATTAGGATAAGGTCTACTACATTCGACTAACCAAATCTAATCAAATAACCAAATCCATCATTTCTTATGCTACCAGCATTAAACTGATGATCTCGTGGAATTAAATTTCAAAAGTGAGATACTTTCATTTTTCTTATAATGATAAAAAATTTTGAAAATGAACACTGCTACCTCCATAAATTCAGTTTATTTTAGAACTTTTTAGATTGGACACATTTTTTTGAGGTGAATGATTATAAAAAGGAAAATTGGCAAATTTTAAATTTATAATATCCGTCATCCATCAATAATACCATATTTCGAATGGATTTGCTAGCAAGGAATACGTAATGAACTGAGAGTGAAGGAGTGAACTGAAATGCATGTTGAAGTATTTGCGCAACTTTTGAGTAAGCTGAATGAAAAGCAACGAACCACATCACAGCAGGGATAGCTTAAGGGTATAGCTGTATTGGAATAATGCGCTGGTGAACCTCGCGATCGATAATATAGATCTGGGATCGGTAACGGTTCTTCTGGAAGGGACATAGTTTCGTTTCTGCTTTACTGATTACTAAAAATATGCATCAATGGAAACAAAATCATCATTGCTAAGCATACATTAGGATAAAAACAAATTTAAATATGTCTACAAGACTTAAGTGTAAAAAAAAACTCACTATAAAATATTTTATGAATTCATTGCTGCGTTAAAATTAAATTTGGTTAAGACTTATTTATGGTTTAAGATTTGCAATATTTTTATAATTTGTAATGAAATTCGATTTGTGCAACCAGCGCCGTCGTATTCCTACTTCTGATATTATTTTATTTATGTTAGATTTTATGCTTTCATTTTATTTATTATTATTAAACATGAAATGTGATAACTATATATCAATAACGAAAAGCTTTGCAAATAGTCGACAACGTTTAACTGCAACAAATTTGTGATATATAGAATGAAATTTTTACACAATACTATTATTAATCAGTTTTGAATGAATGAAATCATAAACGTCAAAAAATTTGATTCCATAAAAGTGATCCATTTTTTTTTCACCTGCTTTAATTTAACCATCTATTTTAGTCTACCTTAATTTAACTTCTTGAATTTTTGAAGAAATAAAATATAAAGCATTCTTGGAGTAGTCGTATTTGTAACAGTAACTAAAAGAAGAAATGAATGAAAGGAAGCAGAAAGATGGAAAAGTTCGCTAAACCAACTGGGAGTAACGATAAGGCATCAAATTGTGGAATAGAGCACTTCATCCTTCCGTTCAAACAGTGCTGAATTGGTCCCTCGCGATTTCAACTTATCTGTTTTTCAGTCAACAAATTAATGACACGAGAATATGGGTGTTATTGCTATGCGTACATTTGAATCACTAAAGGATCACTTCGGCAATGTATAATATTTTCATACTTGAGAAATGGAGTTCCTTGTTGAATATTCTCTGAATTTATTAAATTCATTAGTAGTCTGTATTCACCTGAATTCATTGGTAGTTTTCTGAAACTTCAAAAAAAAAACATCGATCATTCAAGTCATGAAAACAACGAAGGAGTAATAGGCGGGATCAGAAAATTAACGAGAAAAATGTTCGGCTGAAAATGGATAATAAATGATAGTGATAGAAATATTATTTATAATATATATGAACTTTTGAGAGGAAAAAAAATAATTCGTCCATATAATTTTTTTTAGTATTTAACAAAATCAATAGCATTTGAAAGGATGAAATTTTCATTCCAATGATGAAAATTGAGAAGAGAAAGAAGCTTAAATTGCATGCAAGTAAACATACAAAACTGCATTGTATTAAGCGTACTAATAAAATACAAAGCAACAGATTGTAGAATTATTTCCACGTGTGATTTCTCTTAATTGTGATACGTCTTACTGATTAGCATAAGTGTCAACTATCTTCACTTCCTCTGCAGTGCTAATCCCAACAATTCTTATCAATCTCTGTTGTCTCTTTGGGACTGTTATATTCTCATTGTTATTACTCAGATTCTTCCATCTTCTTTACTCTTAATGCTATCCTCTCATCTCACGGAGAGTTTGGCGACATCGCTCATCGGCTGCATTAAATACCAACCCATAACAAATGAGATGCGCTGAATGAAGTGGCGCACGTTGTTGTGCGTGTACTATATGTGGGGTGCGGCGGAGAAGGTAGTACCCGCCATTGCACGTGATGAAGTAGAGAATGAAAACATCCTAAGATGGGATTAGAATGTTGTTAATCTCACATAAGAGAAAGTAGGAAGGTTGATGTGAGTTTATGTATGTGTGTATGTGTGTGTGTGTATGTGTGTGTATATGTGTGTGTGTGTGTGTGTGTGTTTGTAATATGCCATTACGAAGTGAATTGAAGGAATAAGAAAATGAAATGAATGTAGGATATCAATTATTGTTGCAGGTTAGCAATCTGATATGGCTTCAGCATCGGCGTCTTCAAGTGCAGAGGGTTACGATGAGGACGTCTTTGAAATTGAAGATTTCACTATCGTTACAATCAGAGAAGGGTTGTGTGCTGAACTGGAGCAGTTACTGCGTAAATGGGAGCTTAGTGGTGACAACTGCAACAATTATTCCTTTACAAAGGTATGGAAATGTTAATTACTTACTCAGTAAAACTCTATTGTAGTGAATGCATGTTCCAGGCAGAGTTAGCGGAATGTCAATGGGATTCGAAGTACGAAAAGATTACATACGGAAACAATCATTTGATTGCTGCCTATTACTGGCCGAAAAATCTTCAACGAATCAAACAAACAACGAAGTCAGATGTAATTAATGCGGACGGTTCGGATTCTTTTCTAAGCAATGCTGCGCGATTGTTCTGGTCATCTGAGACAGATTTTTGTCCAGGATCCATTATTTGCAATCAAGTGAGTCAAAAAAACTTCTATGCATTCAGAATGTATGGCTTAAGAAGGAGATATCTGCAGTAATTGTTTCTTATTCTTGTTACTGCTGATATCGATTTGTAAATATTACAGTTTGGGGTCCTCGAATTCATTTTACTGACACCATCTGACTGGCATTTAGACAAGGTGTCGAATGAAGACCAGCTTCGAGGGTTATTGTCATCCATTACGGAATCTGTTGGAAAAGCTGGATGGTATGGTTTTGATACCACACAGTTGTGAGCTATTCGCGTGAGGTTCATTACCAAAGAATTATTTCTTAGAACTAGCTGTGAATTCTGTGTTGCATATTCAGTAGTGAGCTGTGCAAGAAATGATTGTTTCGATGTTTTCCTTTATTATATGTCATTAGAATTTATTGTAACCAATGAGTTCATTCAGTCGAAAGCTTCTAAAAACCGTCTTTTAAAGCATCTAAACATATTTCAGTGCTTTACCAGTATTTGTACAATATGGTGAAAGAGAACGGCAACTCTATTTCGGTGTCTGTCAAAATAACTCCATTCGTACTAATTTCGAGTCAGTTCACCAACGTCGAGGCCATCCGTTAAGATGTCATTTATCGGGATGTTTAGACATCTTTAGGGAAATTTTGGTATGTTTTGTTGGTCTGTTTCTTGTTGGGTTTAGTTTTTGATTAAATGGTACACCGTGCAGAGTGTCCTTGTGCAGCGATGATTAATTTGCTGTTTTAGCAGTCTTCCTTAATGGATGAATCGAATCTACGTATATCTATGCAATTCGATTACATATTACAAGTATGTCTCAAGTTATTGTATCTTAAGTTTAGTTGAAATTATTTTTAGAAACATTGCTTATTTTTTGGATATGAGGAAAGTTAAAGTGCTCGTTTTACTTTAAGGATAGGCCCTGTTATGAATCTCCCAAAGAAAATGTCGTGATAGAGGAAGAATTGGTACCAGCAGAAGATGCAGACATTGTTGATATTTCTCATTTTCCGTTTGGCGCTACTACAAATGCAATTGAGTAAGTACTCAGCTTTAGGTCTCTTTTCAGACACAGCTTGAAACTGCTTATCATTTTCATTTATTATTTCAGGGAATTTGGTCTATCAGCGATTTGGTCAAACATCGAAAGAGGGGTTGCTGTGGAAGAACAGAACCTCTCCAATTTGGACCCTCAGCGAGCCTTAGCATGGAGTGCATGGGTTTCAGTACACAAAAATACTTCATATCTAATGAGTTAGTTGCAATTTTTAAGACATATAGATTATAAAGTTTTATCATATTTCTATTTTATTTGGGCTTCCAGAAACCGCTTTCTCGAAATTTCTCATGTTCAACTCATTCTTTTTACTTTTGTTTATTGAATACATTTAGCCTGAACGGGTAGTAGTAGTACCCTTTAAATGTTACTTGATTTTGAGAAACATAGTAGTTTTAACATGGCCTCCTTTAATTTTCATTTTTTGATCACTGTTTTTCTTTAAAAGCGGTAAAAGCATGAGAACAAATAATATAACTTTTCTATATAAATATAACTTGATATAACTTTTCTAGTAGTAAAAGTCTGCCACGAATTGTTAAATCATGAAGAAAGTAGGTGATTAGACCACTATTTTTTTAAGGTTCTTGCTTGAGAAAATTATTGGAAACTGCTGAGTCTCAACAAGGCTCAAGTTTGGTTCTCCAAAAACGAGAGCATTTAAGGCAGGATGCCAGTCAGGCATTGTCTTCATTGTTATCTCCAACAGAGCCAGAAAATATTTCAATCAGAAGCACGAATGAGAACTATTTGGAAACTGTATGTTTATTTTTTGCTTATCACTACTTTACCTCCCTTCTGAATTATTGATGAGTTCTAACATTCTAATCAGCTTAAGCTTGAAGCATCTGGTTATAGGGCATTATTCGGCATTGGATTGATAAAGTATTTGAAAAGACGAAGCGAGAACACATTTTGCCAAGCTCTAACACTTTATGCAACATGGACGTTGAATCAACATACTCGATAGGGAACGCATCAAGCCCTGGTCCAGGTAGTGCTGTTAAAAATGCACAGTACTCTGAAGCATATCATGCTGAAAGCATAATGGAGGATGGAAACACTGTGGAAATTTATCAGAAACTTAGCGTAAGTTATTCATTTACTGTATCTACAGTAAAATCTTGCAATATCATTGCCAGAATTTGTATCGTGCAGATGAATTTTGCACTATAGTTGCTTGTCGTACAAAATTTTTTTGTATTATGAAACATTATCGAGCTCATTGCGGTGATAATACACATGTTCTTCATTGAATCAGTTTAAACTTATAATACTCGTCATACTACTTAAGTTTATATTGATCAAACTCTTTCAAACTCTAGTATACTAATTTTTTGCATTTCTATCACCTTGTAAAATCATAGCATTTTAATTTTATGAATTCTTGAAGGATATATTGGGCACATGTAAATCAGCTCCAGAATCTAGCTTGACTTGTCGCATTTCTGTTGCGCTTGCCCAAATGCTGTGTGCTCGGAATTACTCATTGACTGAATTTTCTCACTTATGGTCTACAATTACGTATGAATTGCAGAAATATTACGAAAAAAATTTGTATATTCCTGGGTATGTATTATTAAATTTGTTGAATATCAGAGCAATAATTTAACAGTGCAGTTGTAATGTCCGCATTCCATTGTCATGAACTTTTTTTTCACTTCTTTTAGACAATAAAACTGGGTGAATTTTATAGACTGGATAAATCTTTGACGCCCGACTTGTCTACCTGTAGATTCCATCAGAATCTGCAGCTTTTACAATGTGCAGTTAAAGCTAAAAAAAGACGTGAGTCAAAGAACTTTTTCATGCAAAAGTGGCAATTGTGTAAGTCAGGTACATAATTTGATTTTATGATCGGACGTATGGCTGAATTCTTTCTAACGACTTTATGAAGATTTAAGATCACATTACACTTGATGTTACAGAAGAGGATGAATTTTTTGACGCATCGGAATCCTTAGAAGAAAATGATAAAGAAATATCGAGAAAAGAATCAGACTCTTCAGAAGGGCGTTTGAAACCTTACAACTCGTTGTATCTTCTTCACTTCTCTGATAGGCTAATGTATGAACCTATTACACAGGTTTGTTTACTTGGTTTATGTCCATCATATCTCTTTTCCTTCGTGCATATGAGTTTCTTTCAGAGTCGTGTTCCAGTGACCGAGGATATGCTCGAGAGGCATACTGAATATTTAGCCTCGTTGAGGGATCCTGAAGAACGAGTTAAAGCACAACTGGAGCCACTTTTTTCAGATATGCAAGCTTTTAAAGTAAGAAACACTTTCATGTTTCTTACTGCTGTCTTCATACTCACATGCTATTAATTACATCACTTTTGTTTGTAGGCGGCCAATCCAGGTTGCTGTTTTGAGGACTTTGTAAGATGGCACTCTCCTCGTGACTTTATCGTAGATGATGAAAATACAGGGGGAGGTAAGCTTTGAACTTGTTCTTTTGTTGTATCTATGATTTTCTGGATTGTTAGCTCTTACCGCGACAATCTGTCTACCTACTTTAAAGGTCACTTGTCAAGTCGCATGACGGGTGAAGATAACACATGGCAACAGACGTGGAATCAGGCGCAGCCGAGGCCTGCTTGTCGTCAAAAAATGCTATTTGATGACTTGAAAGTGGCTAATGAGGTAATCGTCATTAGCTTTAATTTCCGGGAGGAGATATCGAACATTGCATAGTAACTATCAGTAGTTCAACACGCTTCTTAATTTTTGCTTTTCAGTTTAGAACTGGACTTTTACTATCATAGTTATCTTGGTTTTCAGTTCGTGGAAAAATTAATACTGAGATCAGATGCCTTAGATCCATCGACAATTTCGACTTGATTTTACATTAACAAATGAATCTCAATTTTCAGATTATTAGTGGTTTCGAAAATCTCACAGTGTCCAAATTAATTCTTTATATTCTACCAGTTTTATTCAAATGCGCATCCGTACAGTTAGTGGATGAATGTTAGTTTTTTTATCAGTATCATACGACTTTTAACCGTGTCTTCCTTAACACAGTTAAATCATTTCGTTTAATCTGCCAGTTAGATTGCATCTGATTTCGATCACTGACTAAAATGAAGTACTGTATTTACGGTTTGTTTAAAAATGTCGATAACACTCAACGCTTTTTAATACGTCTAGTTGTTGACAAGTCCCATTCTAAATAAGGTGTCGAAACCGAGTTTTATGGAAGGTCTTTGTCGTATATGAAATGGCACATGCTTATTCTTTTATTAGAGTATCTCGAAATTCATAGCTAATTCATCTCTAGTTTTCTTCATTTCATATTTCATCGTTGGATAATTAATTCACTGTTGGACAATTATAGCAAAATTGTATTTTGCTCTTATTGGAGACAAATTACTCAGCCTTTGCAAAAAAATTTCGAATTGTACGAGGAGCAATGGTTTGGAAGATTACTTAGATGCTGTCAAGGATATGACTGAAGTTGAGGGGGTGGTTGCTTGCTGCAATGCACTTTATACACAATTAGTTGCTGCGACTGATAAAAAGGTTAGCTGCTTACATTACTGGATTTCTTTAACTGTATTGTTCTGAAACTTTGTAAAAAGGTTGAGTAAAAGTTGTTTGGTAGTCATAATTTCAAAAAGTCAGTGTTTTCAAGATCTCAGTTTTTTCTTAAAATATTTTCGTCAAAATAGGCTTAATTCCTATGCTGTTACTGGTTACTTGATTCTCGAGCAGTACCCAAAGACATCTTTCGCTTATTAGAACCGTATCATCAAAATACCAATTTTCATTACTGTTTCTTTTCGATTCGATTTTTATTTTATGAAAATGTTTTTATGTAAGGTAACAATAATTTCTAGAAACTGGATAACTTGAAACGCTTAAAATTCTACAGAATTTGTGCAAACTTATTGACCGGAGTAGTATATTGTTGCTTGCCTGATAATTTCATGAGGAGTTTGGATAAAATTATACATTTTCCACAATTCTTGTTACATGTCGCCTAATGTTTATTGCTCTTTTTTTGAGCAGTAACAAATTTTAATTGTAGTTAACTGAAGACGAGAAGTGTGAAATACGACAATTCGTTATGTTGCTCGTACGATCAGACGAGCAAAACTACAGAAGTGTTGCTAATGGTGGAAAAGCTGGTGCTGGCTATCGAATACCGATTGTTCGAGGTTTACATGGGCCTATCGGTTCAGCTCTAAAAAACCTCTTTTTTGGTTCCTCTATAAAAAACTCGAATAGGTAAACTTATTGCTAATCACTGGAAAACAAGTTACTGGCATTTTTGGTGCGGCCTTGCATAGTTAATATATGCTAGTTTATACGTTTTATACGAATAGTATGTGCTTTAATCTCTGCTTATCAAGGTTTCAAATATTTTTACAAAAAGGTGAAAGTAGAATTAGTTCTGCTAAGCTAAAACTGAAATAAAATAAAATTTTGTTTAATTTTCAAAAAATTTCTGCAAGCACAGCTTTTTGTTCTCACGCTTCTGCAGGAGCGAAAAAAGAACTCTTGAGCAAATTCTCACTGGCGACGAAGACATGCCATATCGCAGGTAAATCGTTCGCAAGTTTTTTATACGGACGAAATATAAACAAACCAGGTAGTAACATTAATACACTCTTTTTAAGCCCAAAGCCAACTTATTCTGATCCCATAGGATTTCTAGCATATAATGGGCTGAAGCACTGTCAGTATTCGCTCTACGTCTTTGGAAACAGATTAATTTCCTTTTAGGAGGCAATACATCATTCGATGCGGTGCTCGTAGACCCACACTTGGTTCACGAACATTACCACAAAGATTATATGCTGCAATTTCAAGAGAAGAGTATAGAATTTGTTTGGCACTGTCAAGTGATACCGTCTTATCTTAATTCTGATTGTGGTATCAATTTTGCTACTGTAGTCGAAGGTGATATGATAAAATAGTGATGGCATTAATGTCGAATTGGTATTAGGAACTGAACAAATATGGGATCAGTTTGAAGATTCGCATGTTATAAGGGTTCACAAAATTTTTTTTTTATAAGTTACAGTACGGAGCAGATTAGCGGAAATATAAAACAAAGAGTAAAACAAAAAAAATAGGGAGAGATGTATCTCGTAGTATCAGTTTTCAGACGCTACGTATCAGTGTTGTAGTATTTATAAGGTTCATTTCATGATCTCCAGAAACGCTTTAGTTTAGGCAAGATTACCTAATGATACTAAGTAGAAAACTTTCATCATTATAAATACACCTAGTCCACTCTTTTCTTTCTTCCTTCCTTTCGGCTCCCCTCCATTTTGCAGTAAAAAAAGTTTCGGAACAGTTTCGAAATAATTTGTTGAGTGTAATCAGAATTAGATTTACTTATGCACTTTCCTTTGTACGATTAAACGAATTCATGATTATCTTTCATCTGGTATTTCACTACTGAAGGGCTGTTTAAGTCCGCATAGAAAAACAATACAAAAATTTGTACATTATTATCACTTCTTGGAAATGTATTGAGAGCATTAAAATGAGCAAATTGAACATGATCAAATATCTTTATAAAAGGTCGAAATCTTTGGTTCTTCAATTGTTAGAAATTGCTGCAAAACAAGTCAACCTGATTATTCCAGAGCGGTTCATCATCATTTCCACTTTCTAACTTTGAATTCTCATCATCGAATGTCTCTGAAAAAAATGTTTTTATAAGACTTCTGATACTCATTGAGTAGGAAAATGTATCAAGTATAGGAGAATCACTCTAGGAATTTTTCAGTTCCTTCCTTTGTCGTTTTCTTCTTCATAGAGAAACTTTCGACCATTTCTATTAGTTTAAAAACCAAAAACTTCGAGAAAACTAGCCCGAGAAGGTAAGGCATGCAGGGAACTTGTCTTGGTCACTTTGTGCACAAAATTCTGGGAGAAGTCTTTCCATGCGTTGTAATACCAAGTAAATAAATGCGTACTGTCCTGGAAGTTGTACAGCTCCAAATCTGCAAATTCTGTTTAATGTTTTTTCGTGATATAACAGCAATATATTGTCGGGGTGTAGCGGCAGTGTATTCTGGGGAAGTCTGGTGAGACTTAAAAAGAGAATGCGTCAACCGATCTAGATCAAATAAGCAGTCTGGCTGTTTGGTCCGGTATCCTGATCATCGTCTAGAGGTCTGCTTACAATTTTCATGGCTCAACGATTACTGGGAGACACAATCAATGATTAGGAAATCTTGATTTTTTCACGTTGTATCACACAACAAATCTGTTTTTGCAAACCTCTGCTTGCGTAATCTGGATACAGTAGAAAATACGTCAATATTTTCAGGAGTTTTATAGAGTTGATCCATTCCCAAAGCTATCGCGATAAATGTGCAAGCTCGACCAATTCCAGCACTGCAAACAACGGATACTACTTTATATTTATTATAAATGATAACAAAGCATTTTTTGGTATACAGTGCCTTCTAGATGCCGTTCGAAGAGAAAGTTACCTGCAATGAACAACAACTGGTGCTGCATGAGAGGACAATCGTCGATATTCGTTTCTGTAACTTTCCATAGCAACGATTACTTTCAAAAGTTGGGTGATATGTTGCACAGGCAAGCGGTCATCTAACCATTCCGTAAACCAAATGTGCCTCACATGATGCTCCAAATTACCATACTATAAATATAAGTTGGTTACTACCGGTCTTGAAGTGTAATCCTTGACAAATGAATTAATCTAACTAGGAATTCGGCGAAAAATTTGAATTGAGAAGCATTAAATATTACTGTAAACATTGCATCGACCTAGCTTTTAAAATAACAGAACTTCAAAACAGCTCATTGTAGCCTTATGCCGCAACTAATCGCTAATTTCAAAAGGGGAAAAAGGCTCTCGTTCCAGCTTCCGCTATTCAACAGTATACGTTTTATGAAACACATTTAGAAAACTAGCTTTCAAGGAGGCAAAAATCAATACATTTAAAATAATGTGACGAATTTGTACACCATCGTAAAAGTTTGTTGATACAACAGTAACATCAATTTCACCATAGCAGGCATGGTTGTCCGGCCAGTATTTCTCACATTTTTTCTGTAAAATGTCTAGGTGTCCTCCGCACAAATTTCATCGATTTCGAAAAATTCAAATTATTATGTCCATGATTCTCTATTCGAACTACAAAAGATTCTATATACTAAATTCTGAAAACAGACTAATGCTAGCTTGGCTCCACAGGGCTTTTCCTCTAAGTTGGTCACCATTACGATAGCTGGTGCACGTTCCTGGAGAACCATTAACCAAAAATCGTTAATTGTATTCGACAATGGACCTTCTGCTGCGATATACATTAATTGTGAGTTCGAGTCCTGAATTTAACCAGCTGACTAGAAACTAATATCAATAAAAATGATGGGTGGAATGGTTTCTTTTATCGACAAAAATTTATATGTTTTGTTTTCCAAAACTTCGTGGTTAATGATATTATAGCACAAAAAAGCATTTCATAAGCAATGGGAGGGTTGTCAAAAGGTCCACACTTCCTGCGAACGAGTTCGCAGACGAAGTGACACTAGAATCCTATTAATGTTTCGATGCTTTCTAGAATTTTATAATTAATAATTGTAGAAATGGTGATTATTGAGCATGGTAAGGCGGTAAATTCTTAGAATTGATCTGTGCTTATAGGTATCAGAAATAAGCTGACCAAAATATAATTGGCATTGATATAACTCTGGAAGATATCTTCAGCTGTAGAATTACATGAAGCTCTATAGCTGGGTGATAGTCGTACACGAGTTTCTCTTATAGGCCATAATGTATGTCGATTTTTCTGACTGCAACCGGCAACTTTTTCACATGATGAAGTACTTGGACTTGGAAGAGCCTGTAAAAAAAAGGATATGTCAAGCATTACTTTATAAGTTATATAAGTATTTCCTTCCTTCTCTTGACTATATAAGTATTTCCTTCCTTCTCTTGACCAACAGAAAAAAAAATATGATTTAACTTACGGCAAACTCAGCATAAATCGCGGACAAAGATGCCGAAATATCAAGATGGTGCAGTTGGTAACGTGTCAAACGTCGTGGCTTACGAAGCTCCAATTCTTCGGTAATACTGAAATTTATTAAAAATATTCGTTAATGAATAGAAGCGATGATTGTTGTTCCGATCAGTGGAGCGATCATGAACAAAAATGAAATAAGCCTCTATAATTAATTATTGCAAATCAGTGTAGGCTAAAGTCACTGTTTTGCATTTTATCAGTTATTGTAAAGCAAAAGGCCATAGCGAGAAAGAGAATAAAAGATTTTTTCCGGTACAGTCAGTGCAGGATGATGCAGCGAAGATATACTTTTAACACGAACTCTTCATCAATTGGTGATATTTCAAGAGCTGAATTCTGGAATTGGCCCAGATCAATTGTTAGTGACATTGATGAGCCACGCCTAAAATGTGAAGACTAAGATAAATGTGGCTATAAAAATAAAAGTTTATTTTCAAACAACAAATTTACTTAGGGAATTGGTGTGTGTCCGGGAGAACTTCAGAGGGTTATCCTCATCGTATGCAAATATTTAGACAGTTTACCTTTCACGGAGGCTGCAGTTGCGCATTGGGACATAAGATGTAACCATTAGCTAAGAATGCCACATATTTTTATCTAAAAAAAACAAAATTTATGATAATAGTGGAATTTATTGTGCAAAAAAATTTTCAGCTCATTCTTCTTTCCTTATATTGCAAGGAAGTGAAAAGTTTTCGATTTTTTTAAACTGAATAACAACTATTATAAAATAACTTCCTCTAATGAATTTGCTGCATATTAGAGTGAATTCATTATGATTCTTTGATTTGCTTAGTTTCATTTCAGAAAGAATGAACTTTGAGAATGTTTGTAATTTCATATCGTTTTTTCAGTGCTACATTACGGTACTTCAGAAAAAAAAGTTTAGGAATCGATCAAATTTCAAAAGCGAACTAAATAAAAATAGTTTATTTATTGCTCCCATCAGTAAAATAAAAGCAAAATTGGAGTTTAGCTGATGTAATAGCAAATTTTCGACAATATTGAATAATGAATGATATGAAAATGATCATAGATCTGTGCTTATATTAATTGTTGATATGAAAATGTTAATGGCTAATGTTAAGTTAATTGTTGATATGAAAATGTTAATGGCTAATGTTAAGTTAATTGTTGATATGAAAACGATAAATTAAGATCGAAAAAATAGGTGGGTACTTGTTATTGAGAAATAGTCCCAAATACTAAGAGACAATGTACTTGTGGGAATTATCAGGTCTCTTTATATATCAAAATTTTGAATGCAATGGAAAAGTGGCAACAGTTTCAACATACGTCATTTCCGTGCTGAATGCTTTTGTGAAAAATTTCTGAGTTGATAAACAGGTTAATTGACGATTCATTTTTTACGGTGCCATTAGGGTGGTACATATCAAACTCACGCATGCACATACGCACACACACACACGCGCACACACATATTCACACATAAACACATATACACACACACGCATACACACATACGCACACACACACATATAGAAAGCCACAACCATACCCACGGACAAATTCGTATCTATTTATAGTGTAATGAATTATTATCCGCACATTTTGAGTGAATGATTACTTCCTGTCTTTGATTACTTTCCTGTTGGTAATATGATTACGGGGAAAGATATTATAAGATATTATTTGCCTCTTCAAATTAAATTTTGTAAATTCGAAATACTGAAAACAATGATAAGAGAGAGCTGAACTTTTGGTAATGCAAATAGGAGCTACGTAAAAGATATTAAATTATCCCTTCTTCATCACCCATATTTTCTTATTCAGAGAATTCGGCGAATAGTTTTACCCAATTATATCGCTGTATAATAATAGAAGAGAG